CGGGTGCGGTTGCGGGTGCGGGGTGGCGCGGGTGCGCGCGGGTGTGGTGCGCGGGGTGCGCGGGTGGCGCGGGGGTGCGCGGCGGTGCGCGGGGGTGCGCGGGGGTGCGCGGGGTGCGCGGGGGTGCGCGGTGGGTGCGCGGGGTGTGGGGTGCGCGGGTGGGGGTGTGTGGGTGGTGTGGGGGGTGGGTGGTGTGTGGTGTGTGGGTGGTGTGTGGGTGGTGTGTGGGTGGTGTGTGGGTGGTGTGTGGGTGGTGTGTGGGTGGTGTGTGGGTGGTGTGTGGGTGGTGTGTGGGTGGTGTGTGGGTGGTGTGTGGGTGGTGTGTGGGTGGCGTGTGGGTGGTGTGTGGGTGGTGTGTGGGTGGTGTGTGGGTGGTGTGTGGGTGGTGTGTGGGTGTGTGTGTGTGTGTGTGTTCGTTGGCTGAGCCTCATGCACGGATAAGCACGGCCTACCTACCCGCTGATCTTTATGCACGCCAGTGTGCGAATACTCAACGGCCATGCCCTGCACCATTCCGAAGCTGCGGAGATCACTAACGCCGCTGTCACCGGATTTTGGTATGCCTTATTGTGTTCTGTAGGGGTGCCATACCGTCGTATACAGTGGTCATGGAAGGGCCCTGCAGAGTGCATCACACCTCGGCAATGGCCCGCACTTGAAGTACGATACCGCTTGAGGTTGTCATTGCCAAGACCGTTGAAGTGGAAGCCACAGGGCACGACCTCCTGGACCTACTCTATCATCTTCTGGATGAGCTCTCGGGCTGCAAGTCAGGGCGGATAGACTCACGTTGACATGGGAGTCGAGTGTTGAATTGCTGTGCGGATGACGTGACATGATCTAGAGAGGCTCTGTAGAAGTGATGCGATCGATGACATTTGGCAGCTGCCTCCGCTTGGCGAGCAACACTCAAGGCTCAATCTCCACGGTCTCGGGTGTGGCATCTATGGTGTTCGTTCCCTGCTTTCAGACACGCCCAGATGCAACAGGGGTGCTTACAGTCAGCGCCTTCAGCCAGGTTCCTCTACGTCTTTGCCACGGATATGCACGTCAGCAGGTGCATCGAAATCTTGTCCTTCGATGAGTCGCCCGACTTGTGACGGTTTTGCGCTATCTTGATTTGCTAAGAGAGATACTTCACGTCGTCGAGGGGATGGCAACGACTACACAGCATGTTCACAAGCACATGCACTCGTCTGCGTATGCAGCTGTCCTCATGGCTTCAATGGCGGGCTGGACAGGATGAGCTTGTTTACGCAGATGCATGTGTTTCCGGACTCTCATGAGACGGTTTTGCTTAAGTCTTATCAGAGAGCTTGCTGTGAATGTTTGGCTTTACTTCAAGAGGGTTGCAGACTTCATTTGCACGAGTTTTGACAGTGTGATCGCGACAGTGTCTTTTCCAGCAAATTGGATCTCACATTCTCTTTCCGAACTCATGGAAACAAGGCACACGTTCAGCATCCGAGCGAGGGGCTACGGAGAGAAGATGGACTTACGGATGCTCGGCTCCACACATGGTTTAATTCCTCACTGGTACATTGCCATGTGCCAGAATACGCAACACTAGCCCGTCATAGTTCCATGATGTTCCATGCGAGATATGCGGATATTTTGCGCTGTTTTCGGCTAGTGGCTAGGGCTTGTGTATTCCGCAGATGATGCCGAGGAAGCATGAGCAAGGCACCGAAATCAAGGACAGCCGATAGTTTTCAGCTTTTGTTCTTGCCACCTCCGGTTCTCCTCGAGGAGATTGCTCTGCCTGCCAGCCACGGTTCGTAGAAGTGCAGCGCAGGCCATTACGATGCACATGATGAAGATACTGACTCCCGACTTTATGCTCACCGAGGAGAGATCGAACTTGAGCTTTGTAGAACGCTGGGATGGACAGAGGGCTCTCTGCAAAGCTTCCAAGCTTCATTGCACATGGCTAAAGGGACATCCAGTTGACTGCAGGAAGGTCGTGGCTCTCGTGATGCGGGTGGCCAGATGTCGGACTTTCCCTTCGAGGCCTCATTTTGTCACATCCATGTTTGAACCTGATCTTGACTTGCAAGACAGGGATGACAGGGCACCTTCGTAATCATGATGCGTAGTTAATTTACCTGAATCAGATTTCAGCAGGACCCGAGTAAAGCCGGAAAGAATGTGTCACAGAAAGTATATTCACTCCTTCAGGGCATTGCCTCCACAGACTTTGAAGCTGCAACGTTTTGTCCGTGCGCAAATGAATTTATCAACTCTGGTATTCCCTGCCCGCTACGGAGGCGTATGTGCTGCTGGATATCTGAGCTTCTCTGTGCACGGCCGTGGCCGCAAAGACACTGGAGATTGGAATCCCAGTGATAGAGAATCTATAGATACAGGCTTTATATAGACGTGCGTATAATTATATACATATATATATATATACATATATATATATATATATATTTATATGTTTGTTTTTCTCAGGGGCTGCGCCCACGGGCGGGCAGAGCAGGTAGAAGCCTGGAGCAAGGCCACGCACCCACCGCGAATCACCTTAACAGGCTTAAAATGTCCCCGAGTCCCGAAACCAAGGCCGCTGATGTGCGCCACGGGTCCCTGACTGGTGCCGCAAATGCTCATGATGCGCGCGCTTTGGGGGGGGTCCATGGCTGTCCATGGTTACCCCAACATTACTTACAAACACTCGACTTCCGCTCACGAACACTCACAGGCTGGGGACCGGGCGCTGCCCGATCGAAGACGCCTGCGGCGGAACAACGGCCGCTCCCAAGTCAGGATGAAACCTCGCTAGGGAGAAGCGCGGATTTTGTGATGTTAGTTGCCATCGTAGTATATCGAGTCGTGTCCCAAGGTTGATTCTGTTTAGAGGATCGCCCGTATGCGCAATGCTGTGGCATGATCGTGTTTTCACAGCAGGTGAGGTCCTGTGTCTAAGCTTGTTTACAGGCAACTCCAGATCGCCGCGACATGTGTGTCGTTATAAGCTGCAACAACACTGCTCCAGCGTTCGTCGTGTTCCGGTGTGGGTCAACCCTTCTAGAGGCCACACCCGAACGCCGCGCGAAGTAGCATCGCTACACCCGAGCTTGTTCTCAGGCAGCACCTAGATGCCGGAACCCTGCGGCAGTCATGTTTTCGCATGTCAGATACTTTACAGGTCATGTGAAAGCGCCGCGCCATATGTGTACTCGCGGGAAGTAACTACCCCACTGTAGCGTCTGTTGCAGTATAGCCAGGATTTCCTCGACCCTTTGGCAGGCAACGCCAGAACGCCGCGCCAAGTAGTGCCAGTGCTCCACAGTTGATTTTTCTTTCTTGTCCTCCTATACCAGGAACCCCAACAGAAGGCAGAGGGACTAGTGTTTGTGTACAACGTTTAGAGGCCACTCCTCGACACCGCAGCTCATGCCGACTGCTCTTCACAGAGGCAACGGTAAGATGCCACAAGCCACGCCAGCAAGAGGGACTGTATTAATATTTTGGAGTGATCCCTTTACGTATATCCTGTGATAATGAAGCAGAGTCGACAAATTTGCAGTGTGCCATCGGAGAACGTCGACAGGGTTGCAAGGCAGAGAGGACGTTTGTGTAGTAGTCTAAGGCATTAACATACCACTAAACGCACACCAAGAGTAACCCAGTCCTGCTGGGGTGGGCGCAGGTGGGGCTTTGGATGGGCGAAGTGGGGCTGAGGAGGGGACGGACATGCATTGAGATGGAATTCAAATACTTTAAGTATTACAAAACACCAATAAGTATTCTAAAAGACCAATAATAAGAACACACCAAGACTGGCCAGTCCTGCCGGAGTGGGCGCAGGTGAGGGTTTGGGCGGGGCGAAGTGGGGCTGACACCGGGTTGGGCATTGGGGCGGAAGTAAATTGCTCGAAGGTACTCGGGTGGGCGGGGTGGAGCTCGGGAGGGGCGTGGCCTGCATTGGCATAACACACCAAACCTGACCCAGGTGACAGCGTATTGAGTCAAAGCAAACCCGAAAAACACACCTAAGCTGACGCAGGTGACAGCGAATTAAGTTCATGCAAGCTCGAAAGTACAGCTTCTGGGCGCCGACCGGCAGGGGTCGGCGGATATATGCTCCAACTTTGCACAGATAGATGGTGAGAGAGCTGTTGGTATGGTAGATATCTGGGGCGACACAGATACATGTATCTACCCAACTGCCGGCTGTTCTGACAAACATGTGTGTTCATGTACGTTATATATATATATATATGTGCTCCAACTTTGCACAGATAGACGGTGAGAGAGCTGTTGGGATGGCAGATATCTGGGGCGACACAGGTACATGAATCCACCCAAGTGCCCGCTGTTCTGCCCAACATGTGTGCTCGTGTTGAGAGACATGGGCAGGCCAGATGTAGCGAGACAGGCAGATCAGATCATATCAGATGCATCAGACGCAACGACGGACGGATTCTGCGGCTGTTTCACACAAAGCCAGAACAGGAGTCCGCGACTGCGGCTTAGATTTCCTGACTTGCTTCTTGCAAAAAGTCTGTGGTTGGGTTTCTTCGGAGATTTCGCATTCCCTTCAAGAACACTTGGGGCTTAGGGGGTTAGTCAACGAAGGCTTGTAGTCGATGTCTACGATCGCAACTAGGATTCAGGGTGGTTCGATCTGTTGTCGGTTGTGACCGGCACAGGGGACACATACGTCAGAATATTGATGCGGACACACACCTCACCATCTATAGTCATCAGCGAAGATTATATTGAGCCGATGTAAGACGTTCTCAAGAAGGTTGTTCTGAACAAAGGACCTAACCCAATAAATGCCAGACGGTTCTGTCCTACCCTCGGTGATCTGAAGGCTTTGCGCTGTACCTAAAGAAGTTGTACAAGTAGTTGCGGAAGTCCTGTATTTTTCGGTCGTCAAAGCATCTCGAAACTTTTGTTGCCCAAAGATGTCCACCCAAGGGCTTTCGCTTGAAGGCTTCGAGCTGTTTCGGGCTTGATGTGCAAGATTCAGTCGCTTTTGCCCGCATCAGGCTGGTGACACTGAGCGCCGCCTCCGCGCCGGCTGCAGTATATTGGTGACAGATCCTGTGCTGCCTGTCAAGCACTTCAATCTTACATAGCTCTCGCGAGATTCCTGACCTTCTTTTCTGGAGGTCATAGCCAGGATTTGTCGAAGCTTCGGATATGTGGAAGGTTCGGCCGTGGACGTTTGGTATTTCTCCGGATCCGTGGATACCACCACTCAACATGAGACGCCGGCTGCCTGTGCATTTTGGCTTTCAGTGGAAGAAGCATTCAGCCCCTGACGCGATGCCGGCCAAAGCTCAAAAGTACGGCCTCACGCTCAGTTGGTGAGTCCGCTTGTTGGATTTGGGCCGGGTGTCGGCACATAGTATCTTACAGTTAATTTCCCCTCGTGGAGGATGTGGCCTTTCGTGAGTAGACTGTCACGGACATGCCTCTAAGAAGGTTGGTTCTGGGGCTTCGAGATTGGGCGGCGTTCTTCAAACAAAGCTGCATGTGCACAACAGTCTCACGAGCATTCCCGCCCTGCCGTGCCTTGTGCTGAATCGAATCGGATCCGTTATTCGGGCCCTCACCTTCAGGATAAAAGGCTCAGAGCTCCAAAAACATCCCAAAGCCTTGCTACATCACCACCAAGGGAAGCTGGCTCAGGGCGAGACCAAGACTGGTCTACGTGCACGGAAGACGCGGCCGGACTCCGACTCTGCCGTTTGGCCACAAGAAGACGACAGTCGCTCGCAAGTTCTGGTGCCAGACAAAGATCGAAGGATGCAGAGCGCGAGAGAGACAGATGGAGGGCTTTTACCAGTAGCCATCTTAGCTCAAGTCGACCTGCCACCCTTCCCTGTGGGGGCGCTCGAGAATGGCCCTCTTGGCCCTCGGAGAGTAGCCTCTGTGGGCCGGGTGGGTGGACATTTCTCGAAGAGGAGGCTTCTGTCACAGGCAGAAGGGTCGAAGCCTTCTTCATCAACTTTGGGCGGTTCCGTCCACCAATCTTCCCTCTCCTCGGTTAGCCGCTTCCTTCAAACCAGAACGTCTTGATTCAGTCAACTCCCTGTCCCCGCTTCAGTCAGCCCTGCAATGTTGTCAACGCATGTCGACCGCTCTTTTCCAGTCTCAGATTCAGTTTAGGGTGCTGGAAAACACCAAAAGCCCTAATATTGGGGCCTTGGTAATTACCTCGACTCTACTGACTCTACTGTTGTGGAGGTTCATTGTCATATTTATAGTATGATATAGCGCAAAGCTCATTCTAAGTATTTAGGCCCCTATATCAACCGGAAACCGAAAAATGAACCCGCAGATCCTGCGAACTTTCCAGGGCACCTACTGGCATCCTCAGATGAGGGTTTGGGGTGAGTCTCATGGGAATATGTCCTGACAAAAAACACTTCAGGGATATGTTGCTGTTTTCCGGACATCAAATCCAGAGCCCAACAGCTTCAAAGCCCAACTAAACCAGGCTACGGCTTGGAGTCTGAGCAAGCAAGGTAGAAAAAGGCTTCCACAGCTCTGCATGTCTCGTCCTTTATGCATTCTGGGCCTGTGGCCTCAACAGGGTTTCGGACTTCGCACCCGCCGTGCTTTGAATTTTAATCATACAGCTCTGCCGCGTTACCTACCCGCAGACCATCGGCAGCCATGAGGGGGCCACGCCTTGCATTCTGAAAAGTCCCAACCCATGAACTGAATCCTAAGTCGCATTGAGTGTGCCCTATTCTACTTAGTGTCCCGATCATTTCTTATCCCTGCACCCCTGAAGTGATCTGCTGCTACATGATTCCCAAGGCATTACTAACTCTGTACTTGTTGCATTTCTGTAAGACCTTGGGAGAGATGAAGTCACGGAGGAGTACGGTCACTTTAGGTGTTTGATAATTCTATTGTTGCATCCTGTCATCATGACTTCTCCGTTCGTGTAGTTTCGCGCGTCAGACTCCGAACCACATGCCTCGCCTGCATTGTCCGAGTGTGAGCACCGAAATCGCATTGAGAATGTTCGAACCAAGGTGTTGTGAGTGTTATGAGCTAAGTCTGAGTGAATTTGAAGATCCAGAATGTTCGCCGCCACAAGCCTCAATATCAAAGACTAAACCGTCATGCGTCTGAAGCCCTAGTTATGCCCTGTGCCCTCAGTCAAAGGTGAGATCCCGAAACAGAAGAATCTGCCGGCCAAACCCGAAAATTCAAGCCTTGCCTGGACATACCTGACGCGAGTTTCAGATAGCCCTAGACCTTATATGCCGACATCTCAAAGGCTTCAAAGATGGATGCCGGCACAGACAGAGCACAGCAGGAGCCACAATCAACTCTGCTGAGCCCTGAGCACTGCACATAATCATCAAGGTGATAAGCCAAAAGCCCACCGTTGCCACAAGGCCCAATTCGCAGCGCACCAGCGCCAGCGTTCCACCAAAAAAGGTTTCGCCTGGGTAAACCCATTCAAAACTACCGAAACTCTGAATTTATCGTCTTCTTTGTCTTCGCAGTCGTGCTGGCGTTAGCATCAGCAGCAGCGACAATAGTAGTACGTAGTCAGTAGTCGTCGTCGTGGTACATGCGGCTGCAGTGACGGTGGTGGTGGTGGTGGTGGTGGTGGTGGTGGTGGTGGTGGTGGTGGTGGTGGTGGTGGTGGTGGTGGTGGTGGTGGTGGTGGTGGTGGTGGTGGTGGTGGTGGTGGCGGCGGCGGCGGCGGTGGTGGTGGTGGTGTAGCAGTCGCAGTCGTGGTCGTAGCAGTGTCGTAGTGTAGCAGTCTAGCAGTGTAATGGTGTCGTAATAGTAGTAGTCGTAGTAGTAGTAGTAGTAGCAGCAGTAGTAGTAGGAGTAGGAGTAGGAGTAGGAGGAGGAGGTTGTAGTCGTCATCGTGGTGGTGGTGGTGGTGGTGGTGGTGGTGGTGGTGGTGGTGGTGGTGGTGGTGGTGGTGGTGGTGGTGGTGGTGGTGGTGGTGGTGGTGGTGGTGGTGGTCGTGGTAGTGCTAGTGCCAGTCGTAGTGCGGTGCGGGTTGTTGGGGTAGTGGGGTCGGGCGGGGAAAACGAATCTCCGTAGTTGAGTGAGTCTTTGTGTGCGGGTTGAACGAATCATTCCGTGGGCTGTGGTTCACTGAACCTGCGCATCTGGGTTGAAGCACATTGAAGGACCCAGCTTTCGCTGTGGAAGGCATACGCATTTTCTGGTTGACAGAATTCGCGGGGGCCAGTTGAAGGAATATTTGGCCGCGGCCAAAAGTTGAATGAATCCGCGTGCGACGCAGGCAGCAGCCCATACAGCCCCATACAGGTCAAGCCGCCTGCCGCGGGGGGGGGGGGGAAAACACTCGCGGCCCTCCTCCTTTGCAGGGGGAGGTGGCCCGCATACTTCAGCCGTGACGACTTCAAAGTGATCCCGCCAAGGAGAACGTCTCCGAAAAGAAAGGGTATCCCTGGGTGTCAGCTTTGCCGAGACGCATTGGCAAAGAAGGAGCAGGCCGCAAGTACTAGGTTCGCGACTGCAAGGACCCCGACAGCCGCTTGTTTGAGGTGCCCAAGAAGACCGTGAAAGTACCAGTGGAGCCAAAGCCCGAGCGGGGTAGCTTTTGATGGTTTTGTACTTGCAGCAATGGGTCACTGCAGCAGCTTTTCCAACCCAGACCAAATCCTCGAATACCGAGTGACGAACCTAGACACGTTGACAATTCGCCAGTTGAGTGTGCCCCCTCAGGGGATCCGCGAAACCTTAGTTGGGGGAGCCGCCTTTAGACAGAAGCTTGTACTGACGAGAGAAGAAGCCGGTCACAGAGCCGGATCGCATGTCTTTAGTGCGGCCCGCCGTGATTTACTGCACAGCGAAGAGAGGGGGGGCAGGAGGGGAGTCCTTGCATTGGCCTTCGAGGCGGGTTGGGGCCTAGGTCTAGTGGTTTCGGGGGAATCCCTCTAATTGAGCCTGCCTTCAGTGACACTCGTGTGCCAGCCCTCTACTCTTCCGGTGAGCGATATCGCGCGGAGGGTTAGTGATTGCTAACTCTGTCGGCCGCGTAGAAGCTCTTGCCACTGACAGCCGTGACAAGTTACACCAGATTGAGGAGCTGAAGGATGCAAGTAGTGAAAGGAACCCAGATGGCCGCCTCCAATTGGAAGGCGCGACAATTTGCCCCCAACAGTGTTAGACCCACGGCTTGCACACAGACGCCTTGAAGTACGTTCCAATGTTTCCACCGCCTCGTCAGGATATGTGCCGACAGGCACTTAGCGTGACAAGTTTGCATCCATGGTGAGTAGTGGATTTCCCGAAGCCACGCGTAAAGCACAGGTTGTTGAGTTCCCTCAAACAAGCCCAGGATTTGGTGCATGTTGAGAAAGCGGTGATGTACTGTAAAAGCGCGGAGGTCCAGGTTTCATTTTAAACGCACTATGCCGAGGGTTTCTTGGTGGAGTATGGTGGAGTCTCCAGAAGGCGATCAGGGAAGACGCGAAGTCCACCTGCGCGGTCCTGCTTTAAATTGGGCCTCGCCGGATCGTACCCCAGGCGCGTGTGCGATGGTCAGCAAAACATTGGAGCCTCGAAAAAGTGCTGCTGGAGAACGGCCAGCTGGATGAAGGCGGCATCAGGCGGCGCTTGGAGGTGGTTGGGGGTGCTGGTGAGGTTTGCTGGGATGACGAACTCATTGCAAAGAACTCGGCCAACTCTGGGTTGATGTACGGCCTTCTTGGACTGCAAGCTTTTCGTTTTGCCAGTGTCCTCTGGGTCACTCACGTAGAAAGCCCGAAAAATCTTTCGCGTTTGCAGAGCACGCTTGACTAGGCAGGCGGGCCTCTGACACGGATTGCCGCTGGCAAGTCGCATGACACGTTCGACAGCTTTCGCTGCATGGCTAGCGTCACACCGAGCAGCGGACCAACTGAAATGGGTGCGACAGGGGGAACCCGGTTCGGAAAGACAGAGAAAAACACTTTTATATTGGCTTCCGGCTCTGCATGCTGGAGACCGCCACGAGGGGGCGACAGGGGGAAGAGGCCTTCTTGTGACTCATGCCGTGGAGCTCCACTGAGCTCCGACCGTGTCAGTCAGGGTTACAACGGTGTGTCGGAA